ATGGGAGGGAGGGGAGAAGGTTCTGGGCACGGGAAATGCATGTGCAAAGGCCATGGGGTAGGGGCGGGTTCTGTGTGATGAAGGAGCAAAGCAGAGTGAGTAGGGGACAGAGATGAAGGAGTGGGGTCAGGTTACATATTCACCAGAACAAAGGGATCCGAAGTTTAATGTATGCGTCGTGGGAAAATATCATTCATCTTATGAACACTTCAACCCATCTTTGCCAGGGAGTCAGGGAGGCTCAGCATACAATGAACTCCACCCTAAGAATTTCTGGTCTCAGAACAAAATTGCTTAAAGGACCAGCAGCCCCCACCATCACTACCAACACCAGCCATGGCTGGGCTCAAGCTGGGGCTGGGCCATCAGAATGTGACACCCTGAACTGGTCCAGAGTGGCCCACAAAGCCTGCCCACACAGTGGCTCAGTCATCTGGGAGACCTGGGGTGCTGGGCAACCTCCCTGCACCTTAGAAGACACAGGTCCCAAGGCCAGGGTCAAAAGCAGGCTGGAACGGGGTTGCCTGTGGTCCTAGCACTTGGAAAGCCGAGGCAGGAGCATTCAGAGTTTGAGGTAAGCCTGGGCTGGTTAGTCCCTGTCTTTAAAAAAGGAAGGAAGGAAGGAAGGAAGGAAGGAAGGAAGGAAGGAAGGAAGGAGGGCAAGCTACCACATCATGCCCTGCCCAACCCTCCCCTGCAACAGACCCTGTCTCAACACCAGGTGACCAGGAACCCACTGACAGCTGATTCCCCTACAGACAATGGCATACAAAAGCACAGTTTCTGAGCAGCCCCCCGGCTGCCATCAACCAGGCCCAAACTTAGACCAGCTGAGAAGGTATTCACGTGTAAGACACCATCTGCCAGAAGAAAGGTTACCTCACAGAATGTCAAGTTTCATGACAGAATCCTCTTTCAGTGGGCAAGTTAAAAGAAAAAGGAAGACGGGATTGGGGGGAGCTGACTATTTTATTTGTGCAGATGCTGGCACAACCTCCACCCCCGTACAACCAGTTCTGCGCAGGCCACCCAGACGGACACCAGGGTGCTCAGCCAGCTCCTCACACTGCCTCCATCCCCTAAAGTGAAATCCTAAGATACCCACACACAACCTGGTGGGGAGGGCTGATCTACTCATGCCCAACACTCCAGCTCTTTCTGAGGGGAGGAGGAAGGGCTCTTGGAGTTGAGGGCTTGGAAACCAGGAAGGCAGATGGAATGGCTCACCAGCCAGGCTGGACTTACTGAAGGCATCTGGGACAGCGGTTTGTGGTTAACCTGGAGAGGTTTCCCCTTCTCTAGAAGGTTCCTAGATACCTTCTCCACCTGTTCCCCCGACCCCTCCTCTAGCTCACCCACATGCTGGCCTGGTGTTGTACAGCCTCTCCACTCTGACAGACAGCAACTCTACACTGTCAAAAGTCTCCAAAGTTAGGAATCACCACCAGGGCTGATGGCTTATTTGCCGCCGTCATGGGTAGAAAGGAGGATTTTGACACATTCGAAATGATAGCGCATTTAGGTGAGTCAAGCTGTCACAGGCGCTAATGGATGTCTAAGCACGTCACAGCTGATATGTAAAATTTACCTGCTCCTGAACATCACAAGGTTATAATATTTTAATTATATCCACACTCTTTTCTGAACTTTGAGCACAGAACAATATTCCACAAAACAACACCTGGATTCCAGCTGTTCCAGAAAGGAGGACACCTTTCAAAAGTCCAGCCTTGCTGGCTCATCCTGAGGGTCCAGCCGATTCTCCAGAGTGGAATAGCATTTTCCTACCCAAGTCTCCCGGGAGGGTTCACAAGAACCACCTCTCCCACAAACACAGCTGGGTAGAGGGACCCCACCCCTCATTTAAACTGAGTGCCCTAACTCCTCAGCTTAAGCAACTATCTTTGGAGGAAGAGGAAAGATGGTCTGGGGGCCAGGATCCAGAACATCATTTAGAAGGGAGAGTGGGATAAATGAAAACAGAAAAGAAAAACCATGAACCCATGAATTTAGTCACAACGATAATACACAGAAAAGCCATAAAATAAGCCCACATTAGTGATGTTCACCATAAAACCATCCTGTAACCAAATGAAATATGCCAGCGTTAACTCAGGACGGAATTTTATTTCTTTTCATTCCTGGGCTGCTACAAGCAGCCAGAGGGGGAGGGGGAGGTGATTGAGGGGTGCCAGTGTGGGGCACCTGGGTTCAACAACCTTTCGAGTCATTCCTTAAGCCCCCCAAACCCCCAGGGAGTCCACCGCCTCCCATCCCACCGTGCCAGCCTCAGCATGTTCGTTACACCATACTCAGAGAATCTGCCGGAATAAAACGACTAACTCAACAGCTTCCATGTTTAAAAAATATATGTTCATCCAGGGGGCTGAGAGCCCAGCTGGTGCAAGGTCACCTTTCTTGTCCCGAATGGGGCATCGTCAGCAGTGTGGTCCAGTCTGGGGACAGGGGGCTGCTATAACTGGCTCGATCTCTTTAAGATTCAGGAATCAGGCTGCAAGGAACCATCCAACCTGAACAACCCAGGATACAAGCCACTCAGTCCTCCCAGGCTACCAGCCCTGGGTGAGGGAGCCCCCAGCTCTGAGCCTGCACAGACCCACAGTTCCTACCTGTATGTCACAATCAGCTGCAGAAGTTTCCTCTCCTCTGTGGAGGACGAGAAATGAAGATGCAAGCGAGCATGGAGGAGGGGTCACTAGCAAGCTGTTCCAGAAAGGGTCCCTGAGCAAAGGGCTGAGAGATGGACGCCCTGAAGACCCTGGGCTTAAGAGTCTGAGACTGGGGCAGAGAGTGGGCAGCTGTGCTGGCCTGGGCCTGGGCGACTGCAAGCTGTAGCGCCACAGTCATTTCTCTGAGCTCTAGAACTATGCAGCCTTTTCAAACTCCCTGGGGGCCATCCCCTCCTCTTTATATCGATTCAGATGAGCACCCCCCTCCCCGGGAGTCTGTTTGTGCCAGACACACAGCCATTGTCTTAATGAGTTCCACACACACACACACACACACACCCTTGCATATACCCTGTTGGGGGAAAGGTCTTGGCGTTGCTGGTCCCTGCCACCTGGTTAGGCCTGTCCACCACCCCAATAACCACCTTGCACTCAAATCTCCTGTTCTATCTCAGTGTGTTCTAAGACCCTAACAAAAGGCTTGCAGACCCGGGGGGAGTCAGCTGGAACCAAGACTGGGGTGACCTTCCACAAAAGACTCCCCGCCAGGACTAGGGGCATCAAGCATCCACACCCCCAGCTCAGAAACCAATGCGGGAAGCCGCACCCAGCCCTCAGCCCCAGGCCAGCCTCTCTCCCACCAAGCCTGAAGCCCGGGCTCCAGGATGGAAAGCGAGTTATCTAATGAGAATTGTGTTAACTGGCATTCCCGCCGACCCCGGGCAAATACCGGCGCTGTAAACCTCACCGTGGCAATTCTCTCCAGCAGAATAACAATAGCACCCGGCTAAGGGCTTCCGCCAGCCCAGCTGCTCGCTCCCCTTTCGTCTGCCGCGTTCTTGTCATTCCTTATGTTACAGAACATCAATCATAAATAAAGACGCTGTCCCCCAGCCTGCCCGGGTCTCATTTACAAACATTAGCAGGGAATACGATTACCATTGGCCTTCGTGCCAAGCCCAATGTGGCTACCCAACTCTCTCTCTCTCTCTCTCTCTCTCTCTCTCTCTCTCTCTCTCTCTCTCTCTCTCTCTCTCTCCCCTCCCCCCCCAAAGGCCACTTTTAGCATCCTTTAAATCAGCAAGCATAGCTAACAACCCTGCCCATCTCAGCCGGCCACCAAACTGTAACCTCAACTCGGGCGCGGACCAGGAATTGCACGGCTCTAGCAGTTATTAACTGCATGCCTGAGTGCCCCGATTTTCTCTCCAGCTCAATGGCTTGGAGGGAGGAGGGGAGCGAGAAGTGGGGACAGAGAAGAGCGGGGCCGGAGCCACTTATCAGAAGCAACTTAACGAGATCTACGGGCAGATTAAAAAGAGAAAGTGGGTCCTCCCCCCCTTTCTTTAATCTCCAGACGTGCTGTCACGTCTTCGGAGACTGTCGCTGGCCAGGCAGAATGCTCTCACAGCGCGGTTATCTGCACGGCTTCCCCGCCCCTGGTGGTCGCCGCACCTGCCACGACTCTGCCCGACTGCCGGGTGTGGGGAGCCTCTGAGGGCATACTGTGCACCCGGGTGTGTCTCCAATTGGGGTGCCGCGAGACCACCCCCCTCCTCCAACCCGGGCCTCAGAAAGATGGCAGCAAACATCCCAACCCCGAGGCACCCGGAGCCCGCGCACCAAGAACAGCGGAAAAAGTGCTAGGGCTGCGAAGAGCGTCGCCCCAGGGAAGGAGAGTGGGGCGAGGGGGGCGAGGGGGACCCGGGGGACCCGGGAGACGCGGGGCAGGGAGAGCAGGGTGCGGGAGCCGGCGAGGCAGAACCACGAGCCCGAGCCGCCGATGCAAAAGTTCCCAGGGGCCGCAGCCCGCGCACCTGCTCCGCCCCGCGGCAGGTGCGCAAAGTTGCGCGCGCTCGGGCCTGGGGTTCCAGGCCGGCGGACAAGGATGGAGGGGAAGGGGGGGAGGGGAGCAAGATGGGGGAGCAAGCCAGAGGAGGGGAAGAAAAGCAACACGGGAGGGGGCTGCCAAGACAGAGACGGGAAGGAGACGAGGAGGAGGACGGCAGAAAGCAGGCAGGGGAAGGGAAAGCAGCCGGAGGGGGTTAGCAAACGGGGTGGGGGGTGGGGGGGCAAGACGCAGACACTAACCCGCAGGGATCGTCCCGGGAGGTGCCCAGAGCGTCCGGGCTGCAGTGGCCGGTGGCGGCGGCTGGGCGGCTGCGCAGCCGCGTCCCGCTGCCCGCGCTGCCCGCGCTCTCCGTGCTCCCCGCGCTCCTCCCGCTCCCCGATCTCCTCCCGCCCCGGAGGCTCCCACGTCCCGGCGACCGATCGAGGCGGCGGCGAACAAAGGCAGACCGGTCGGCTCACCTGCAGCCGCCGCAGGTCCAGGCGCCGTCTTGCGCGCGGCCCCCTGGTCGCCCGTGCCGCCCTGGCCGGCCTCGGCCCCCGGGCCCCCCGCGGTCCCCCCTCGGCCGCCATCTTGGGGGCGGGCGCGCGGCCGGGGATGCGGCTGCCGCCAACACCCGGGCTGGACCCCGGGAGCGCGGCCCGGCTCCGCGCGCACGCACTTGACTTTGGCTTCTCGCAAACTTATCGACAGCGCCGCGCGCGCGGATCGATGCGCAGGGGGCGGCGGGAGCGCGGAGGGGCCGCGGGCGACGGGGACCGTAAAGAACAAAGTGAGCGCTCTGCGCGGCGTGGGGGCCGCTGTCCGCGTGGCCTCGCGCGAGGGGAGCACGGGGCACACGCGCGCCGGGCCGGCCGGAGTCCCCCGCGTGTCACTCGCTTCCGTGCGCTGGGGGTGGCGGCCGCCAGGGGGCGCCGCGGAGCCGTGGGAAAGTCTCCCTGAGCCTAGCACTGTGCTCACCCTTACAGGGACCTCTGGACGTGAGAGGGGGTCGTAGTCCCATCTGGGGACCCAGCACTCTGTGTGTCTGTGCGTAGAGTCTTCATAGTAGGGCTTTGGTGGTTATTATTTAGCGGGTGTAGCTCACCTCACAACTTTACCATGCTAGGCCCTGGGGTGGAGTGACCATTACTGCAGGGTGTTCTTAAAGAAATCTTTGCAGAGGTCTTTCCCCCAACAGCTGCTTGGATTGGTTGAGGCGCCCAGGCCTGCAATAGTGGCTCCAGACCTCTAAGCACTGTGTGAGGGTCATGTAATCATTACTGGGGTCAGCCCACCAGGGGACCCACCCCAGCCCTTTGCAGCATAGCCGTCCTGCATTTTCCGTTGTCTTTAGAGAATTGATCTTTAGCCCAGGGAGGGGAGGTCCTAGCCTTTGGCAGTTCCTCAGACCCTGGACCAAGGAGGTGGCAAGGGGTCGTATTTCACATTTTTCTCTCCTTTTCTATCTCTACGAGCCTCCCAGACCCCTCCCAACATCTCGCCCTTAAGAAGGAACTCAGAATCCCATCATGCCTAGACACACTAACCCCTGAAACTCCTGGTGACCCTCCTTGCCTGGCCCTGTACAACTACCCTGCACATCACCCCCAAAATAAGAGTCACAGTCCCCGGCCACACAAACACCTCTGTCAAAAGACCAGCTTTTATGGACAGCCAACCGAAATTATATTCTCTTTTTATGACCCAGCTTGGACTCTGGCATCACTCTTGGTCTGGGACAATAGATCAATACAGTGGGTTATAAAAAAGATGAAGTTTAGAAGAGTTGTAAAGGAGAGAGAATCGTGATGGATATTTTTGATGATTTTCCAATATTTGTGTCTCCGAGCACGTGCTCCGAGGCAATTAAAGTTTTTAATGTAATGTAAATAACTGTTCCTTAAATGCTTCGGGAGAAGGTGTGATCACTCCCAGCCATCACTCGAGCTGTTTAAAAACTGCAGCGTGATTTAAAGTAGGATACAGTATTTCTCTTACTGTCCTCATACATTTTTTTCTGTGACGTCTGGGCAAATACATTAACTCGGGAGTTTGAAAAGACAACTCAGACCAAAAGCGGAGCTTTCCCAGAGACGAAACGAATTAGGCCGAGTTAGCAATTCCGAGTGGCCCATTTCCCTACCAGATTAAATTGCACGTGACATGTGGTTTATTTCCTCTCTCGATAACTCTGCCTTCAAATTACAGCTCTCATTCTGCAAAATGAATTTAGGCAAATTTCATAAGTAATGCAATGCAATTTTTTTTAAATGGCTACATTTTCTTCTTGAGGATCTGTACAGCTTGCAGCTTCCTGTCTTTGAGTCTGTTCTTGAAAAACCTGTAATAGAAAATTTAAAAAACACACACACACACAAAAAAAAAAAACCTAGAGATTGTGAGACCTTTTCAAAGCACGTTTAACAAACAGAGATTCAGATGAAAGAGTATTTTAACATATGTCTGACTCTGCCTCCATGGGACACACTGCTGTGGTGAGATTCCTGGTATGGTGAACCGAGAAGGACGTGTGCCTGGGTGGTATTCCTGCCCAAAGTGCAGAGTCTAAATTTAATTGTGAAGAAATATCACGCCATCCCAAATGGAGGGGGGAGTTGTCCAAAATAAATGGGCTGCTTTCTTCAAAAAAAATGTCAGTGGCGCCACAAACAAACAGGGACCGAGCACACGTTCCAGGCTGGGGGAGCCAAAGCAATTGGACAGAGTGATCACAAGGCATAGCCAAGGGTCGTCTTTGTCTCCAACGACTGTCAACGGGACTCATTGGCAAATCTGGACCAAAGTCATCAGGTCACACATTGTATGAACGTTAACCCTCTGAACTGGATCCTTGCCTCGTGTCCCATGTAACCAAATGGCTTTGTTTTCAGGAAACACACAGAAGTGGTTAGGAGGGAAAAAATGGAGACTAACTCAAAGCATGCAAATGAAGACAAGATCCACCCATTTCTCCTGAACCTGAGACCTGGATGGGGCACACGCTAACATTTGAGGATTCTGTCTCCCACACATGTTTACATTTCCTTGAGGTGTTTTGGGGAATCTAAAATTATGTCAAAATTAAAAATCAGAACTATAGACACGAAATCAAGATCCAGTTTTGTTCCAGCCATTTGGCACCACATAAAGATTCTGGCAACAACTTTTCTCCATTCCTCACTGAGTCAGGCTGCACCTTTGACCAAGCAGGAAATTGCCACAGCAAACATGCTTACCCAGGAGCAGCAAGGAAATCCAATAATTCAGATTGTTTTAAGTCTGTGATATTTTTAAATGACTTAATACAGCCGAGTCTCTGAAGAATTCCGACCATTTTAATGGTGGCAACTTGCAGTCCCACTGAGGAATGGGCTGCTACATAAATACTGAATGATCGTGTCTTTCTGTCTCCGCTGAAACATATTAGCTTTGTTTAGCCGCTTATTGCTTTATTCACAAAATAAATTTCAGCCGTCTCTCTCCCAGCCATGTTCCATGCACATCGTCAGCCTGAGCCTTATTAGATATGGGGGCTCCCGTTCCAGCCACATCCGTAACCGTCTCCGACTCAGCAATAATGAATTAAGCAGTTAGGTATTTACCCCCTAAATAGAGTTAGCTCTAGGAAGTGATATTATTATGGGTGGTCCACGAAAGCCAGGAAATTCAGGCTTTCTCAGCAGACGAGTGACCTTGGAACTAAGGCAATACAATTTTCAATATTATCGTAATAAGATTCTTTCCACTTTTTTTTTTTTTAATGGAGAGAAATTTAAGCACATCTCTGATAAGTCTGAGTCTCCCAGATGAATGTTAGGAAATCACAATAGGAACACAGATGCCCTTCTTGGGCATCCCATCCGGAAAGCTGAAGCAGCCAGGACCCTTTAAGAAATTCAGACGCTGTACGAGATTCCCCAGGAAGACACTGCAGGTCCGCAGCCCCACACATAATGATATTCTAGATCTCGGCATCAAAGCTGAAACAAAAGGAAAATGCCCTTTGAGAGTCTCAGCTGCCAGGCAAGGAGTGAGGCAAGCCTGGGGATTAATCTGTAAGTGTGAACACCCTGAGCGAATCAGGGAGAGGGGACACAGCCTGGCAGCTGCCTGCAGGAGAAGGCTCTGGGAGGCTGGGGCAAGTCCACCGCCGAGCCTCTGTCCTGACTGACTGCAAGGAGCGAGGCAGAAATCCCTTCTACACCATGCAGGCAGCCACCACCCTATAAAGTGCCTGCTGGTTGCCAACACTTCACAAATAAATCACAGGTACATGTCAGTTGCTCTCAAGGCAGAGTGGCTAGACTGGATACTGAGTCTGGCCGTGTCACTTGAAGCTTAGAGACCTGGACAACCCAGTTTACCATTGTGGCTTTTTTCCCTCGTGGATGCCAGTGCAATAATGTTCCCGTGGTGTGACAAGGATGTGGGTGAATGTGTATCCTGAGAATATGCAGAGGCCACTGGCTCTTGGTGTCACAGTGGACAGGCGGAGATTGCCGCTACTGGACTGCAGGTGGGACACTTAAAAGCTCTGAGAAGTGGCAAGTTTCAGGTCACATGGGCACAGGGAGCGGAGTAAGGACAGGTGCCAAGCTTGTCCACAGTAATCTAAGATTGATGGGGAGAAAGAATCGGTCCCAAAGTTAGGACCAGGGCCTCAGCCAGGTGCCAGTTCCCCAACCCATCAGAACTACTGAGGAACCCCACTAGTGGGACAGGCTCTCCGGACCCAACTCCCCACCAATGCCAACACTACTTAACTAAGCAATCTCATTGTCTGTATATTCCCTTTTAGTTCTCCTCCCCCAGTCACGTTGCACCTGCTGACCTCAGTGGACTACAACTCCCATGTGCCTTTGCTGTCTGACTAACATTTGGATTGACCAATAGGATGCCTGTTAGGAGATCAGAGGGTGGAAAGAGAGGAAGTTGGGGCTATTGGTTCCCAGTCTCCCTCCTCGTTGCCCTCAAGTTTGAACAGCTCCTGTGGAACTGCCCCTCTCCTGTCCTCGCTGGCCCCCCAGGTCTGCTCCCTTGGCCTCTGGTTCAGGTTTGGTTATGTGGCTTCCCTTTCTACTGGTACCCAAGACCTCAACATTGCCCTACACACAGCTCGCCTTAGGTGCAGGGGACACTCTCCAAGGCCCACAGGGGATCCCTGAAACCTCAGATCACACACTGAGTCTGTCTTATACACACTTACCTATGAAGAAGCGTAATTTCTTCATTAGACACAGCGAGTTTGGCCAAAGCAGTCATAAAACAATGAACCAGTATAATGACCCACTGTCAGAAAAGTTAGAAGAATAGGGTCATTCTGGAACTTTCCATTTTATATTTTCAGAACTCTTCTGACCACAGGTAACTGGTAGCAAGGTCAAGGTACTGCTGCCCCACCCCCCACCCCAGCAAAACATCCTAGTTGAGTGGATGAAGGAAATATTGTTCCTTTCTAGCCCAGGAAATGGCTCAGAGAAGGTAAGTGACTTGTCCAAGTCACCCAGCCTTGGAGGAACAAAGCTGGGCTAGACTCCTCACCAAGGCTGGGGTCCAGTCCTCGGCTGTTCATGCCACCCTTACCTCCCCCCTTTGGTTCCCTCCATGGGGCACTGAGTCCCTGTCCCAGCTGGGACTCAAACCCTTTCTGTGTCCATTGTCTGGAACTCAAGCTCTGAATGAAGATGCTAGAAGTTCTCCCCCTTCCCACTCCAGGGACCTTCAAAGATGAGCTGGAGGCTGAAGGGAGACAAC